CCAGCCACATACACCTAAGGTGGCGGGTTCGAATCCAGCCCAGGCCCACCAAACAACAATGACAGCTGCAACCAAAAAAAATAGCCAGGAGATTGTGGTGGGTGCCTGTGGTCCCAGCTAATTGGGAGGCTGAGGCAGGAGACTCACTTGAGCCCAGGAGTTGGAGATTGCTGTGAGCTGTGATGTCATGGCACTCTACCCAGGGGGACAGCTTGAGGCTCTGTCTTAAAAAAAAAAAGAGTCAATCAGTTTTCAAAGTATCAGGAAATTTCTTCCTTTTGAAAGAGTAGTAAGTCTAGCCATGACGTGGAACAAATGTAGAGCTCCCACAACTCTAGTGACACAGGAGATTTGTCTCCGAGAGCCACTCTCAGGTCATTTCTCCCAGTCACTCATCTGAGAGACCTGTAGTCCATTACATTCTAATCTGTGACACTAATGAGCAAACTCATTAGATTAAGGAATGTTCCTAGCCTGTCAAGGGCCAGAGGAGTAAAGACTAAAATAACTAAATATGCTCCCATCCTTGGAAACAAAACATTTTTTGTTATTATTAAAACTATCGGGGCGGCGCTGTGGCTCAAAGGAGTAGGGTGCCAGCCCCATATGACGGAGGTGGTGGGTTCAAACCCAGCCCTGGGTGAAAACTGCAAAAAAAGAAAAGAAAAAAAGAAAGACTATCGATCTCTGCATTAAAAAATTGGAAAATGGCTGGGTGCAGTGGCTCATGCCTATAATTTTAGCATTCTGGGAGGCCTGAATAGGAGGATCCCTTGAGCTCAGGAGTTTACCAGCCCAAGCAAGAGTGAGACCCCATTTCAACTATAAATAGAAAAACTAGCTGGACGTGGTAGCGTCTGCTTGTATCCTAGCTACTGAGGTGGCTGAAGTAGGAGGATCATTTGAGCCCAAGATTTGGTGATAGCAGTGAGCTAGGCTCATACCATAGCACTCTAGCCTGGGCAGCAAAGTGAGACTATCTCAAAACAACAACAACAACAACAAAAAAAAAAAAAAAGGAAGAAGAAGAAAATTCAAGTGAATTAAAAGAAGAAACCTATAATCCAACCACCCAGAGAAAACATGGGTGATCAGTTTCTAGCACATACTCTTCTAGATTACCAAATAATTGTATGCCCCTTGGGGGAAAAATATGTATTTAACATAGGAGGGGGAAAACTTTTTACAAAAATAGTGTTATAGCCTGCCCTTTGAAAATAATCTGGGCTTTAATTCCAGAGGTCCTGACATGATCTCTTTCCTTTGAAAAGCAAAACCTGTCTGGTTTCTGCAGGTCAGTCAAGGGTTTCCCCCTGAGTTTAGCCCGGGAGGGAGCTGCCAGGCAGCTGGGCTGTGGCAGCTGCAAGTCTTGACCTAGCGTGTTGACACCATCACATGATAGGTTGCTCTGGCCTTTCCTTCGTCCATGGCTTTAGCTTCTAATACGACACATGACATTCCTCAAGACAAAAGCCTGGAAATGTGATGCATTGCTAGGCTCAGGGAGAAACTATAGCCAGCCAGCCAATTCCTGTCCCACACTCACATGAAAATTCTGTAATATGACCTCCCAGGGGTTCCTCAGTGGTAAACCCACAGGACGTCTGAAAAGATTAGTAGTCATTAAGTAATTGTTTTCTTGCTCCCTCCCACCCTTTGTCAAATGACTGAGATCTGATTTCACAAACAGAAAAAGGCAAGCAATTCTTGAAGCTCCCTATGCAATCCCCACACCTGTTTTCTGCCCATTCCTGTCTCAGCAATCCTAGGAACTGGCAGACAGAGTGAGTGCAGGGGAGAAAGGACTTTTTTCTCCTAACACAAGCAAACAAGATTCCAAAATTCAGATGTCCCAGGGCCTTTAACAAGCTGTGATATATATATACCGTGGAATACTATTCAGCCATTTAACAAAATGGAGACTTTACAGCCTTTGTATTAACCTGGACGGAAGTGGAACAACATTATTCTTAGCAAAGCATCACAAGAATGGAGAAGCATGAATCCTACGTACTCGATTTTGATATGGGAACAATTAATGACACGGTGGGGATGAGGAAAGGGGAGACAGAGAGAGAAAGAATGAGAGAGCGGTAGGGAAAGGAAGAGCAGAGAGGGAAGGGGGGGGTGGGGTCTTGGTGTGTGCCACACCTTTGGGGGGCAAGACATGATTGTAAGAGGGACTTAACCTAACAAATGCAATCAGTGTGACCTGGTTTCCTGTACCCTCAATGAATCCCCAACAATAAATTTAAAAAAAAAACTTGAAAAAAAATAAGTAGGTTAAAGGAGATCAGATGGGTGGGCCCTAATCCGATATGACTGGTGGGTTTTTTGGTTTGTTTGTTTTTCTTCTTGAGACCAAGTCTCTCTGTTGCCCAGACTGGAGTGCAGTAGCTTCATCACAGGTCACTGCAACCTCAAACTCCTGAGCCTGATCAGGCAGTCCTCTTGCTTTGACCCCCCAAAGCACTAGGATTACAGGTGTGAACCCCAGCACCTGGCCACGACTGGTGTTTTTATAAAAGGGAGAGAGATACCAGGGGTACGTATGTGAAGAGGCAGCGGGAGAGTGGCCATCTGCAAGTGTCGGGGAGGCTGTGGAGGAATACGACCCTGCCGGAGCCTCAACCTTGGACTTCCAACCCCCCAAGATGATGAGAAAATGCCTTTTTTGTTGTTTGAGCTGCTCAGTCTTTGGCACTTTGTTATGGCAACCTGAGCAGATTAACACAGAAGGCAAAAGAACATCACACGAAAAGTTTCCCTGACCAACTATTTCCACTTTCCCTTTGCTAAATCTCCTCTGTCCAGCAACCTTACAAAGCACAAAAAGATGTATCTAAAGAAGGTCAGTGACCATCACATGATTAAACTCGGGGTTTGACTATTTGCTCTCAGCGCTGTCTTCCAAAAGGTTGCGCCTTAAAGGTTCTTGTCTGATACGAGCATATTTTCCCTTTCAGCTCTCTAATCATGCTCCCCCAAGTCATTTTACAGCTCCCTAATTGGTCTTATATTTTCCAAGTGCCAGTTTTCTGATAAAAGCTGTTTACAGTCTCACCACTTTGGGCAGAGGAGGTGGCAGGAGGGAGGGAGACTGTTGACAGAAACTGTTTCTAAGAAACTCATCTCTTGTTTTCCCTTGATACAGCCTGTGATGGGAGAAGAGTCCTAAGGGGCAAACTTAGAGAACAAAAAGAAAATACCAAGCAGGGGTATGATTCCTTCCTCATGTGGTGAGATCCACGCATTCAGCCAGCACCACGACGTGCCCTCCTCGGCCGTGCCGGGCACTGAGGGTTTGGCCATGCCTGAGTTAACGTTCCGGTTACACATGATGTCCTAGTTAATGAACCCCGAGACCAGTGTTGCTGTACAACAAAATTGTGTGTATTTAAAAGACATCTCACATTTTAAAGGCACTGCGGAGAAGTTTGGTGATTTGAATGAGGAGAGAGAGAGAAGGGAGGAGTGCGGTGTGGAGTGTGGATGGCTCCGTTAGGAGGCAGAGACAAGCAGACATGGGACAGGGACAGCTGAGGAGGGGGCGGCCTTGACCCAGGGAAGAGGCCTCAACCTTCCTTCTCTCAGCTGCAACCTCAGGGCAGGCCCCAGCTCAGCACAAATGCTGGGCTCTGGGCATGTCTTCCTCCAGAAAGCAGTTTCTGACAATGAGATGTGAGGCTGGACCACGTCCTCTTGGTTAATTAACATGTAACTGTGATGGCTTCTCTATGGTAGACACGCCTTGCTGTAATGGGGTTCCCTCCAGGGAAGAGAAGCCACCCCAGGAGGCAGGCCTAAGCTCTCCACTCCTGGGATAGGAGAGAGCAGTCCTGGGGTGCAGGTCGCAAGCCCCAGCTAAGCAACCGCACTGAATGCTGTGCCACTCACCCGCGACCCCCCTCAGACCTCTCCCTGTGCCAACCCCCAGTCTCTCCCCACTGCGGGACAGAGAGCCGCTTCCCAGACAACACCCAGGGCGACTAGAGCCAAAGCTGTTTCTTTGGGAAATTTTCTCAATTTATCTATATGGAAAATAATCAGTCCATAGAAAATAAAGTGTTTTATTGCTTCAGGAAACAGAGAAATAGGAAAATAGAGAGGAAAAATCCACTGGTCAGAGATGAAAAGAGCAACCATGGACATGAACTCTCTGTTGGAGGCCCAGCTCAGAGCCTCTTTGCTGCTGTGGGTATCTGCCAGTGAGAATCCCAAAGCTGGATATGAGTTGAACAAATGGGTTTAACCTAGAGGTGAAGGAAAAGATTATTCAAATTCCCAAAAGACAATGGCTTCCAGGGCCATTTAGGTCTAGGTCAGTTTTCTATGATTCCCTAATTTGAATCTCTGAATCTTACCGTATAGGAGACTTAATAGAATTGTCTTAGACAAAATAAACCTCCCAAATCTATTCCTATCCTTCAATACCATGGCCAGGTCAGTATCTTTTCATAATTCTCATGTTCATCTTGGCTAACCCTGGTTGTTTCGTTTGCTTTATTTATTTATTTATTTATTTATTTTGTAGTCACCATCTCTGCAGCAAAGCTTCTGTGTCAACCTCACAGTGTCTTCCACGGGGGTCCCTGGCGAGCCCCCCACCTCCCAGTATGCTCTTGTGCAGTCTTCTCTTCTTGAAGCTGGGCTGGCCCTGTGGCTGCTTTGACTGATGCAATGTGGCAAAAATGACATCTTGGTATTTCTCAGCCTTGGTACTAAGAAGGTTCTGAACGCTTCTGCTTCTGGATTTGGGGGAAGTTGGACACATTGTAAGAAGTCAGACCACCCCGAGACCATTGTGATGACAGGAATCCCAAGCTAGCCATGTGGAGAGGCCACATGGCAAGAGAGACACCAGGCCAACCACCAGCTGGTATGCCAGGCATGGAAGTAAAAAGGCTCGCTTGAATGGTCCCACAGATGCTATGTAGAGCAGAGATGAGTTACCCCTGCCAAGTCAGCCCAAATTGCAAAATTATGAATTATTATTGTTTTAAGTCACTAAGTTTGGGGCTGGTTTGCTATATAGCCATTGAAATCCAAAACATTACTTCCTTTAAGATTAAAGTCATCTTCTCTGCAAACTTACTCAATGCAGGTCATCTCATTTTAGAACTTGATATATAGAGTTTGGGTTATACAAGTCCTATGCTTGCTTTTGGCCAGTTTTATAAATTAACCATTTCCTAAAATTAATAATGACAATGGCTAAGCTGAGCATCATGGAATAACTGTATCCCTATTTTGCAGATGAGGAAACTGAGGTACAGAGTGGTTAAGCGGCCTGTCCAAAGGTGGGTCTGTACAAGTACACATTCAAACATGCTTGTCACTCTATTGCCTTGGTGACATGCACTCTGAGCTTTAAGCCATAAAAAGGAAGTAGAAGTGGAGAGAATAACATTGTATCTGCATTCCAGCCAAGAAGAAGGAAGAAGGAAAGAAAATAAATGAAGACACACAGAAACTGTTTACAGCAAAGATGAGCCTGGGGTCAGGGAGGTCCAACAGCAGCTCTGAGTGGGCTCATTTTGTGGTTTGTGTGTTGTGGTAAGATTTGATGGGCTCGGCGCCTATAGCTCAGCCGGCTAAGGCGCCAGCCACGTACACCTAAGGTGGCGGGTTCGAGTCCCCAGCCCAGACCCGCCAAAACAACAATGACGGCTGCAACCAAAAAATAGCCGGGCGTTGTGGCGGGCGCCTGTGGTCCCAGCTACTTGGGAGGCGGAGGCAGGAGACTCGCTTGAGCCCAGGAGTTGGAGGTTGCTGTGAGCTGTAATGCCACGGCACTCTACCCAGGGGGACAGCTTGAGGCTCTGTCTAAAAAAAAAAAAAAAAAAAAGATTTGATGATTCATGGCTCTGCTGTAATGGGGATACACGTGAGATGACCTACTACTTTTTATTTTATTTGTTTCTGGTTTTGTAACAAGCTCGCTCTTATTTGTACTCACTTGGATGGGTTTCTGTCCCTAGTAATAAAAAAAAAAGAAAAGAAAAGAAAAAAGATCTCAGGCTACCTCCTCCAAAAAATCACATCTAGATGACCAGAGGAGATAGCCATAAAATAAAACATTTTTAAAATATATTCACTGGCTCTGTAAATCTCTACTCAGTGAAACGTAGGTTTTTCCTGATAGATTTTATATTAGAAGAGAAACGAAAGACCATGCCAGGAAACATGAAGTTCTCAGGAAGTAATCTGGTTATAAACCTATTTCCTTAATAGGATACAATTTGATTCTAACTCTCATTACCTTTTGACAAGAACAGTAAGACACTAGTTCTATCAGTGATTTGTGAAGCTTTCTCAAATGTTCACAGCCCAGTGGGGGTACACAGAGCAGATGCCATCATCCATCCTCATTTTACTGATGGGACTGGGCTCAAAGGGCATGGAGATGGAGATCAAATGGGCAGTAAGTCAGAAGCTGGCCAGGTCTTTGGGGTCCTGGGCTGGGGCACTTTCTGCCATTCTGTATTACTCTCTGCGCCATTTTTACTCATGTAGGCATCAGGGAGATTTCTTTCTGAAATTACAGATCTCTAGGTTCCATAAGAGCTAACAGGGCTGTTTTTTTTGTTTGTTTGTTTCTTTTTTTGAGACAGACTTTTTTTCACTCTGTTGCCCCAGGCTAGAGTGCCATGGTATTGTAGCTCACAGCAACCTCAAAATCCTGGGTTCAGGTGATTGTCCTGCCTCAGCTTCCCGAGTAGCTGGGACTATAGGTACCTGCCACAATGCCCAGCTAAGTTTTCTATTTTTAGTAGAGATGGAGGGTCTCACTCTTGCTCAGGCTGTCTTAAATGCCTGAGCTCAAGCAATCTACCCACATCGGCCTCCCAGAGTGCTAAGATTACAGGTAAGAGCCACCCTGACTGGCCTTGGGACTAAGTGTTTTGAAGATAGAGGTTGTCATGGTCAGTTAGGGAGCTCTTCAAAACATAATGTTTATCATAAAAATACAATGTTTATCATAAAGTCATTTGCTCCCAGGTATTTCTTTCTATGATCAAAAGTTTCAGTGCTTCAATCTCATTACTGAGCATCTACCCAGAAGGAAAAAAATCATTTTATCATAAGGACATTTGCACTGAACTGTTTATCACGGCTCAATTTACAATTGCCATAATGTGGAAACAGCCTAAATGCTCACCAACCCAGGAATGGATTAACAAGCTGTGGTATATGTACACCGTGGAATACTATCCAGCCATTAAAAAAGATGGAGATTTTACATCTTTTGTATTAACCCGGATGGTGATAGAACACATTCTTGTTATTAAAGCATCACAAGAATGGAGAAAAAAAGAACCCAATGTACTCAATTCTGATATGAGGACAATTGATGACCTAGTACATGGTGGGGGTTGGGGGTACATGGTGGGGGTTAGGGGAACAGGGGAGAGGAGTGAGGGAATGAGGGAAGGATGTGGAGGGGTCACGATGTGTGACACACTTCTTGGAGGTGGGGTGTAGTTATAAGAGGCACTTTACCTAGAAATGCAATCAGTATGACCTAATTCTTTGTACCCTCAAGGAATCCCCCCAAATAAAAAAATATATTTATATAAATACAGAAAGAAAAACCTTTCAGTGCTCTGAGGAGCATTCTAGCCTTAAAATATTTCATTGAACACACTTTTACCAACTTTATGAAGATTACTTGAACTTCCAATTCTTACAACAAAGGTGACCATATAATCACACTTTTTGGCACTCCTAACAGTGGCACAGCATTCAAATGGGACCATAGGGTAATCTTTATTCACTTCCTGTGGATATTCTGAAACACCTGCCTTCCGCTCATAAAGTGGCACGGTCAGTGTATTCCTTATATGGTTATTACCCCATCCCCCAAACCAGAAAGCTTACTCAATTTTTGTATCCTTTGAAATGTTTTCAACTTCAAATTGCCATTGGAACAGTTATACAATTGGACTAGCTCCAATGGACATTCAATTTGAAAAAAAATTTAAGAAGATTTCATGAATAGGAATAAGACTTAATGGCAGTTCAATAAGTGGCCCACTGATCTTCGAGTTTGACATAGGGGGGTCACGTGCCACTTTGCAGGGGTCTCTCCACTCTGCTTTTCTACATGCCATCCTTCAGCCTCCCTGGCACCAGCCCTAGGATTGGTCCTTAGGGGACCCAGGCAAATACCAAAAAGGCTGTGGAGTGAAGGGCTGTGGGGCCGGCCAGCCTGCTGGAGAGGTTCAGTCGCAGTCGGGTTGTTTCTCTGCTGGACAAAAGCAAGGAGCCAGCTGCAAAGGTGTCGGGGTCCCTTCGTGGGCCGAGACTGGTTGGTCTCAGGCCCCAGACTATTTAGTTATCTCCAGATGCTGCTATCTCGCTCAGGAACAATTGCTCTTAGGTGCCTGAGGGCTACTTACTTTAGCAAAAGGAAAAGAGAGAGTCTTTTTTTTTTTGTTTAATTAAATCATAGCTGTGTACCTTAATGCAATCATGGGGTAGAGTCTTTAAGAGAGTAAAGCAGTCTTCTTAGAAAGATAGATCTTAATCTTTAGCAGAGCTTGGTAATCTTCAGCAGAGAGACACCGTGCTGGCGTCCTGCAGGCAGGAGAGGAGACAGAGTGAGAGTAAGTGTGTCCGTGATAGAATGCGCACACTCCCAACTGCCCTCTTCTCCAGCCTCATATAAGGCTGATCTTGTGCCTCTCAATACCACAGGTATAGAGACTGCCAATTCACCAAAGCTCTCATCCCATGAGCTTAGGGTGACCAGATTTTAACATTTGTAAAGCAGGACAACATGGCCGGAGGGCGGGGCAGGGGCGGGGCAGGGGACAGAGCAAGGCAAGGCCTGACAACAATCAAACTTTGATAAGCAGTTCT